ATTTTAGATAAGTTATAGTGTTTATTATATTTGTTGTATGGAATGGCCAAATTAAATACAAAGTTTGAATTTGCATATTTTTGTATATTTTGTCATATTTTAAGAAAAGTGCACATTTGGGCGATTTTTAGCATAATTTTCAAAAATAATATAAAAATGTAACTGCATATATTTAAGCATATTTTGACAATTTTGTCTGCAACAAGTCAAGTCCCGAACCCTAAATTTATTTATATACAAAAACTGTAAAAACTTGGTTTTAATGTATACTTATTACCACACCCCCCATTTCATAATCCTAGCTACGCCATTGTTTATTGTAAATATTCTTCAGAAAAATATACTAAGTCCAAAATCGTTATACTGGTCAAAAATGTTGTCTTTAAAAAAAAAAATCGGTCATTATTAGTAATAAAGTTAAAATAATTAATCATACAAATTGTATAAATGTAAAATATTTTATTTACAATTGGAAATTGTGTGCTATTCTTTGTAAAATGTAAATATTCATCGGTTGTTCTATTTTTTAAATAAAAAAAAACATTTTTCAAAAGCTGTGCTTTGTCTAAGTATTTTTTCTGCAGGTAAACTTTTGCCAGCTATATATTGTTCAAATTTTACTTTATTTATATTTTCTTCTTTCTTCAACCCAGATATGAATTTTCCGGATTTAGTCATCCTTATATAAAGCGTTCATATCTGTTGTCACTTGTCGTAGAATAGCTGTTTTGACAGTTAGACTTTGACAGCACTACACCTAACTACCTAAGTCTGTTGGAAAGTAGATCGGTTGACAAAAACAAATCTATTTAATTTTAGGTATCTATAATTATAATAGTTTTAATATTATAATGCCAATTAATAATAATGGCCTCTCACTGTCCAATAAAATAATGGCAACGAAATGTGAAGAAAATTATGAAAACAAATTTAATCTATAGGTACATATAAAATCCAAATACCACTCACTCACTGATCGCTGTATCTCAAAAACTACTCAACGTACGGGCTTGAAATTTGGAATGGAGGTTCACAGTTCAATAAGAAAGGATTTTCAAAAATGTTGCGTTTTAGTGGAGTAATTAAAAATTATAATTATTCGCCGCCAATATGTATTGTGCGGCACGGCGGCCCGCGGGTTTCCAGCTACCTGTGACCTATCCTCTTTGTTCGTCGTCGTCGTGTAGATAAGAATAATTGTTCCGAGAAGTTTATCGATAAAAATAACCTCATGCATTGCTCTTACACAGTTACACCAATACTCCTATTTTATTATAATGAACGATGAAATGCACACTGATAACATAAACCAATAGGTACACATACAAATTTTATTGATCTTTATACGCAATAAGAAAGGAGTTTCTGATATTCGCTTTTTAAACAGGTGGCAAAACAGGGATCTTAAGATTCACGGTGGAAATCGAAACTTTTTTTTGTTGATTAATGGTTGTCTTTGATTGCAAGTTATAATATGCGAATTATTTCACAAAGCTATTTACAATTACGCCAGTTTGTCCATAAAAATAAATAAAATAACCCCCAAAGTATATTAATATATAAATATGAAATACTCCTAAAAATCCGGCATGATCAACTATGACTTCAATTTTATTTTAGGTACACTTATACTAGTTATACAAATTTGTTTCAACTACAAAGCTGTACTAATATAGGCTACCTATATATTTTATCTCCCCCTTCAATGTGTCCGCAATCTACCTCAGATTGCTTACCTGATAATATACTGTTCGCATTACCATAAGCGAAACTCAGGGCAACGCCACGCGGGATGGCTAAAAATTAAAATATAATATGATTTTGCTTCCATACCTATGCAGAACGAATTACATCTAAAAGGAGTTTTTCCGGGCAACGCCGGGTAATTCAGCTAGTTAAAACATATAATTAAAACTAATAACACAGATCCTTGAAATTTATAATAGAAAATTCTCCACAATTGTTTCTACCTTAAACAAACAAAAAAATTTTATCGGTAACAGGAAAGTAACATTAATTTTTTATGTGCGTTTGAATTTAAAATGTTTACAATATTTGATTTTCCCCGGTAAATAAACGAATTTTTATACATACATCAGGTTTGTAAAGAAAGTCAAATTAAATTTTTATGAGCTTTCAAAAACTAATAACCTTAAATACTTTAAATCTACACCAAACGTTTATTTTATAATTTCCTACACATATAAACATTTTCAAAATATTTCCACTCGTTTTGTGCTATTTACAGACTTTTCAATTTTCAGTTTTTTTTTCTATAAATGTCAATTATTCATTGGGTCAAAAAGCTTTAAAATTTAACACAAGGCTCCTGACACATTGTTACAACAACAGTTGAAAAATATGAAAAATACATGAGCTCGGTTTTTTATACACATTTAAAGTTCAGATGTTGACGAAATTTATCAAATTGAAAATATACAAATTATTTAGCTTAATACTAATATTATTCGTGGGTACTTGAAACTGGCTCACTTAGGCATATTATTATATACAAATATTGAAATATGACAATAATATGCAAGTAATATTAATTCAACTTACCAGCTACAGTATTAATAATAATAATAATAATAATAATAATATAAAATATTTTAAGGGCTAGGTTGAAAATATGTCTGCTCAGAATCGTTTTTTTTGTGATATTATATCACTGAATTCAATTTTAACACCATCCATTACAGCGTGACCCACTTGTAACTTATTGTACATCGCAGTGACACCCACTTACCTGCTTTTTTATTTTTTGTGTCTATCATCACATTTTGTGATATTTTCTTCAACAGCATATTATTTTCTAGTAGGAAAGTTAATAAATTGGTACTTTGAGGAGTCATAAGTAAAAAATTCAAAATAGTTTTCCAAGGCGTTAAGACAAACAAACAAAAAACTAATGAATAGCAGAGATTTTTACACAAAACTAGTTTGTGAAAAAATATAGGTTCAATAAAAAAAAGTTGGGTAAGTGGATGTCGCTCTGCTGTACAGTAGTCACTGTATAATGGATGGTATTAAATTTGAATTTAATGACATAATATCATTGTATACAAATTTTCATATGATTTATATTTGGCCAAAGCCTTTTTTTAGTGAGTTAGCCAGTTTATTATAAGCTGTTTTGTGAGATGGAAGCCTAGTAACTTGGTATTTAGCTCTAGCTCTTCGTTTTTCTACTATTAGGCAGCGAATTTGCTCAGATACTATTGGGTAATTATTTTTATAATTATGTGTTTTATTAGGCTTGGTGGCTTCCCAAGCAGCTGATTGTATTAGCATAGTCAAGTTATTAACTGCTTCATCGATTTCATGATTTGATTTAAGTTTAATTTTTAAATCAATTCGTTGATTAAGAATATTTTGAAATTCAAGACGGTCTATAGAAGGGGAAAAAAGTGTAGTAGGTTCAACTCGTGCAAACACAGTGGCGGACACATTGAGTATGACAGATGAATGATCAGAGTTAAGATCTAATATGTTATTAGTTAGGCAGTGTAAATTACTAGGAATTTTAGTGACAAATATATCTAAAATATCTGGCTTTTTTGCTGGGGAAGAAGGCCAATAGGTAGGGCCCGGTGGTGCAAGTATATTGAAATTATTTGTGTTGACAAAATTATATAAGACAATTCCACGAGGGTTATTTGTGCGACAACCCTAAGCACTGTGTTTAACATTTAAGTCGCCACCTATGATAAAATTATTTTTGATTGTATTGATTGTATTTAATCTGTGACCGTAGCATTCAAAATATTGTGGCGAGGAGGAGAATAAAAAGCACCTACAGTAATGGGTATGTTATTTAGCTTAACTATTATTGTACACGATTGAATATGATCAAAACAGTAATTGGTTTGGGGTTGGAAGTATATTGAATTTTTAATAAATATTGCAACACCACCATGTGCCGTATTATCAGGGTGGTTGGCTTTAATTAGCTGGTATCCAGGTATGAAGATATGTGTATATTTAGTGAAGTGTGTTTCTGTGACTCTGTATTTAATTCCATTTCAAACTATCATGTAACAGTCAATAGTGTATGTGACTTTATGCATGATGTTTCAAAAGGTGTAGCAAGATATGATATGGCCATTATTATTAGTTATTTAATAAGCAATAAATATTTTTCACTTGAAGATCTAAACCAGGGGTGTCCAACCTTTTGTGAAGACTGGGCCACATCATATAGGTAGAAGTTGTTGTGGGCCACATACTTTTTTTTAATAATAATACATTCAAATTTAATGATTAAATTATAATCTATAATACAACAATACATTTTTTTTATAATTTTACAATAGCGAATAATAAGCAGAAATATTTTTACAATTATTAATATTTAATAATTCAATTATAAGTACACAGAAAAATATATTTATTTATAATAAAAAAAGTTTTAGTTTAAAAAAGTTAAATGGTGTTGCGAAAATAGCTAAGAGTTGACTATTCTTACGAAAATCTTGAAAACGGGTTTCAAATTTATTAATTAAAACTAAAATCAAAGAAGCATATTCCTCGTTATTCTTGGGATTGTATTCGGCCAACACAAGGAAATACATAAAATTATTCACCTTAACTTGACTTTGCCATAATTTAAGTTTCAGTTCAAAGGCAGTTATTATTTGAAACATATTACTAATGAGTTGATTTTTACCTTGAAGACGTACGTTTAACTCATTTAAATGAGTAGTTATGTCAACTAAAAAAGCTAAATCCATAAGCGTTATTTGATGGTTGGTTTATATTTCTAAAATAAATTTTTTCTCGTAATATTAATATAATATTATGTATAATTAATTCATGGTTTTAAAATTGAAGTGAGGGCCGCATCAAAATCTATTGCGGGCCGCATGTGGCCCGCGGGCCGCGGGTTGGACACCCCTGATCTAAACCATCGGGTAAGATTGTTTGAGTATGGTGTAATTGACAAAAAAAATTCTCCACCTCCTATTAGTCTCAATCATTTAAAAAATGATTCTATTATTATGTCGGCATCTGAAATGTTGTGTTTTGTTAGGTATTTTGGACTCATTGTAGGAGAACTAGTTCCATTAAAAACCGAAATTTGGAAGTTATATATACACCTTCGGAAAATTATTGATCTGTGTTGTGCTAGAGTATTTCAGCCAGAATGTGCACATCTACTAGATGCTTTAGTTTCAGAACATAACAGATTATATTTAAATTTTTCTAATGGTACATTAAAACCCAAATTTCATATCCTTACACATTATGGTCGTCTCCTTCTTAAAAATGGCCCAATTTCTTTGACATCTTCTTTAAGATTTGAATCAAAACACAAGGTTTTAAAAGCATATGCAAATGCCATACCAAATCGTATAAATTTTGGCCATACTTTATCACATAAACTTCAGTTGCAAATGGTTCATCGAACTAAAAAAGGATTAGAACCAGACTTAAAAGTTGGGTCATATTTAAAAATTAGTAGTATAGTAGAGTTAAAATTTATATTTCCTTCAGATATAAGTCTTAAGGCTTTTTCAGCATCTTGGATGAAATTTAAAGGTATTACTTATAAACCGGGTATGCTGGTGATAGTAAAAATCAATTTAAATGGATGTATTTTTGCTCAAATAATTAATATTTTTATTAATGGTTCTACTGTTCCATATTTAGTGTGTGAACTTTTTTTTACTATTGGATTTGATGATCATTTTCATGCTTATGAACTAAAAAATATGAGACTGAAACAAATCTTATTGGGTATTATATAAATGATTTGTCTGAATCGTCACCTACTGTTATTAGAGTTCTTGGTGATGGTAAATTGTATGCAACATTACGATATGCACTATAATTTATATTTTATTATAAATTAGGTACCTATCTATAGTTATAGACACTTCATATTTTTACAGTTAATTGTATGAAACATTAAGGTATTTTTATTATATTATATTTGTAGTACAAGTATTTACCTTGTAGCTATACTAGTATTAGTATAATCATTATAAGTTTTTTTTTTTTGTACCATTGAAAATGTATCATGCATTGTATATTTTACTTTCAATAAAAATATTATATTTACAAGAAGACCAAATATTTGTATTTTTTACTTTGCCTAATTACACTTGTTGACAATTTTGTATGTAAACATGAAGGAATGGGTATCTTCTGGCCTATATAATAAATAATAAAACTTAATATTTTAATGTATAATATAAGGTTCCAGATTTCAATTTTGACTGTGAAATTTAATTGTACACGTTGACATATAATATTTTAATCTATTTAACCAAAATATTTATTTATTTTTTTGTAATGCCACTATACTAAAGTTCAGTATTAAATAAATAGTTAAGTATTTAATATATAAACAATATGAATACTAATATAAAGAGTAACAGTACTTCAGATTTTGATTCATCGACAAAATTATTAGTTAAGAAAGTACCTAGGTCAAGGACTAACACCATTACTTCTACTAGAATCATTTGGTGGGTGAGTCAAATTATTTTAAGTACCTACAATAAACACATTTATCTAAATGCTTTATTACACAAATATTAAATTTAAATAATAATTTAACTAATTTATTTGAAGTATATACAAGAATTATTTGAAGTTAAATGGACAACCTATTTATAAATGAATATAACATTCATTGGTGTTAAATATACAACATATAAGAATTTTCGAAATCGGTTCAGTAGTTCCAGAGACTACTTTCGACAACGCTAACTAACGAATCCTCTTTATATAATAGTATAGATAGATATACATATATATGTTTTATAACAAATTTAACTTATTATTATAGATATCTGTCATGCTTTTGCTATAAGAAATTAAGAACAATGTTATACAACACATGTAGGTAACATATTAGTTACACACTTACACTACTAATACATTATATTTGTTATGTTATGAATATGGAATGTAGTTTTGTAACAGATGCATAAAAATACATAAATTAAACCTTATGTGCTGTTAGGGCCGGTACTCTGCAGAAAAAATGTTAAATACTGTTACTGCTGAAATTTAAGACCAAACAAAATAATTATTCTATTGTTGTATTAATAAAGTAACTAAACTCACATATTGCAGAGGTTAGTTATATCGTTGTGGAAAGATAAAATATAGATAAAAATAAAAAATTATACAAGTATGCTCTTATATTCTAAAAAATGTGATTAGTTTCAAGATAGTAAACATCTATCACATTTTTCTCATTCAATTACAAACTATATGAATATATTTTTTTAAATAATGTAGGTATACATTGTATTACTTGTGGAACTACTGATATACCTATTATTTTAATATTTTAATTACTTTTAACATTATTTTTTCTGAAAGCATTAAATATATTGAATGACCAAATTTAAGAATGTTTGCACTTTGTGTTGCATAGTTTTCATTATTTGGTTATTCACATTTTGTAAAAAAAATTACAAGTTATTTTCAATGAAAATATTTCAAACTAGCTGGTAAATATACTTTTTTACCTTCAAAGAAAAATAATACTAACAGTATGAAATTATTGAAATATCAAAATGATCAAAATTCTGCAAATATAGCAGACATAATGAATAAATTTAAAATGTATACAGCCATGCCAAGATGTAACCTAGCCAGGCTGTGAGCTTTTTTGTCCTGTATTTTGTCGCAGTAACCCCTGTTTAGTTTTCATTGATAGGTGATAACCAATAGGCAATAAGGCTAGTTCTTTTTAAAATATCAGCCATTAGCCAAGTACAACAGTTGACAAAACTGAACAAAGCTGAGAAAACTAAAGTTGTGCATATAATTTTATCTGCATTTACTCAGCATGTAGGATATTAAGATACATTTGTAAAATGTTATTGTTAATGGACACAATTTTTTATAATCAGATAGATGATCCGCTAAATAAAATTATTATTACTATTATTAATATACAAATTATTTTTATAAAATTCAAATTGTAATTAATAAAAAATAATTGTAAATAACGATTTTTTCGTATAGCTGTTTGATACTAGTAGGGCACCATTGAGTACAGTTTGAAACCGCTAGTTGGAATAAAAATAATTTAATATTGAATGTGTAATAACTGTTCTTTGATTGTTCATAATATATACTCAAAAATCATTATTTCAAAAAAACTAATGTACACATTTATTCATTATTGCCAGATAAATTAAATTTGTTATTCAAATTAGTGAAATTTTTAAGCAACCAAAAATACCTTGATAATTAACAAGACTGACTAGTGACTTGTGTATCTTTTATTAATATTATATTGAGTTACAAATAAAATAACAATAACATATTCAATTTATTATTAAATAAATAATCAAATAATTAATGTAGAATTGTATGTATGATTTGAGGGAGGGGCATTACAAAACTGATATATTTATAAACTGTAACATACTACATAAAAATGAAATTAAAATTTTACAATGATTTAAGATATTTTAATATTTATATAATTATCAGTGATAACTTATCACTCAAGACATCAATCAACAAAATGTATTGTAAATATGTTGATATAGATACAATTAACATATTTTGGTTGTATTAATTATATTATACTAACCAACTAAGCATAAACAATTAAAAGAATAGAAAAGGTAACACAATAGGTATATTAAAAACCATATTTTGATATAATATTGAGAAAAAATAAATTAGTGAGGTTCTATAATATAATATTTTTTATAACATATTTTTAAAGAGATTTATAAAAGTTACATAAATACATTTGCATAAAATAAATGTATCAATTACATAAAAAAAGATTGATTTTACATAGTTAAGCGAATTAAATCATCTTAAATAATTTGCATAATATAAAAAATAAAGTGGATTAATGTGTTACCTACTCAAAAATAAAGTTGATAATTTACGCATTATTAGAAAACAGTTATTACAAATTTGTAACTAATAATACTGAGTTACATACTAATTCAAAATATAGAATACAAAACTATAAATGGTTTTTATAAAACTTAATTAACCGAAAAAAAAAATATATGTCTACTTTTATTTTAAGGTTGGAATAAATAATTCTAAATAATTGTTAGAATTATCAACTTACCCAATTTACCGAGATAAGTTAATTTGGGACAAAATTTATCAATGCCGGGCAGTCCATGTGACCTTTGCACTTCACGGAATTACCCCCGCCAGATCCCGGGCAACCCGTCTTTCAGTACGTACTTCATGCAAGCGCTGTGTCCATTACTTTTGGCAAGTATGTACGACATACCATCCCAAGGACAACCATTTTCCCGCGCGTACATAAGACACTCCAGTTGGCCCGAATCTGAGGCGAACGCGCAAGTCCATACGTCCCAGTCGCACCCATTTTCCCTGGCGTACTTTAAACACTCCAGATGGCCCGATTTCGCGGCTAAGGTGCAAGTCCTTGCGTCCCATGGACATCCGTTTTCCTTGGCATACCTCAAAAACTCCAGATTACCCGTTTCCGCTGCAATGGTGCACGCCTGACCATCACCCCATCCAATGCCAATCTCGTGAGCCAGTTTTAGGCAATCCATGTGATTGTGCGTCACTGCCTCCGAGCATATGTTTTTAAACTTGTCATTTAAATTCGTTTTATACTTCTCTTCATACCTGAGGTTCAAGCTGCTGTACAGGGTCTGCCTATTGGTATTGTTGTCGCCGTTTAGTTTTTTGTTGATTTTTATTATTTCGAACAGCGCCCGGCAACAATTTTGCATATCGACGTCCGGGACTTCCAGTAAGTCGAACTTGTTGCGCTCGATATTGCTGCAAGCATAGTACGCCGTTTTCAACAGGCTTGGTGGTGCGGACATTTCTCTCGTTGTTCGACGACGTCGACCTACACGTCACTGTCCACTCCAATCATGCAGTAGAACAACTTTGTACCCGAAAACAAAACTCGAAAAGGTCACTCAAGACATTTAACAATAAAACGATGAGCCGTCCGAGTTTACTGTAACGATTAACAACTTGCGAGGAAAAATAATGTGCAATGTAAAAAATATGATTGGTAATCGACGTGTAAACACACGATTTAGGCGACGTCGTTAAAAAAAAATTCAACCAATTCACAAGATTTGTGCAAGTAGGTACAAACAAACTACAAACATAACCTATAAACTAAAGGACAGCGCATTCCACTCCGCAATGCCATCAATGCTGGAGAATCGTTTAGATGAGAAAGAAAGAAGTAATAAATCATGGAGGAAATACTTCACTTTTTTTTCAAAATTAAATGCCAAACAATGAAGCTCCCTGGGTAAAGTCATTGATTATAGACACAGATTTCTTTTTTTACTCAAAGTTTATAGATATGTGGGGACTGGCAACACTGGCTGGCGGAATTTACGTCGACTCCACCATTTTTGACGCACACACACACACTCTCCCAATATATATTTTTCACTCTCGTAAAGTCTAGTTTTTACTCTTAAAGTTTTCTATATTTTAATAAGTTGTTTATTTTAGATAAATATTATCTATAAGCCTTGTATAGTACCACAGATTTCTATATAGTACTAGATAGCGAACTCCCGCCATGAATTGAAGCTTCAAGGTCGGTTGGCAATTGTATGGTATTTCATATGTCAAATAAGATGATATTATGATTTATTTTGTATCGTATTTTATTATTTCTTATCATGTTGCTTAAAAAAAAAATATATTTTATATAAGTAATTTTACATTTACTATTTTATTTGATCATTAAAAAAAATATTATTCCTAATCCATTTTGTGCAATAAATGAAATGTTTTGCCAACCGACAAAATGGCAGCCTTCCACAGCTGAGCTTCCCTTGTAACAATGCAAATTGTATAGGAGTTCCTTATCTAGTGTAGTATAGAAGTCTGTGTATAGTACTCACCACGGACTAAGATATACAGGACTGGACACGAGATGAATATTGTGGTTACGAAATGTTTTACAACAGGCGGAGTTCGCGGGGATATTTTCCTTTTAGCATTACTAGCGCCGTCTTAGTGGATACTTATGGAACTATAAATTTGTATGATGTGTTCTAGTTCCATAAGTATCCACTAGGACGGCGCTAGTAATGCTAAAAGGAAAATATCCCCCCGAACACTGCCTGTTGTAAAACATTTCGTAGTCAACCCCCCCACACCCTCCAACCTTGTCGTGTCCAGTCCTGTATATCTTAGTCCGTGGTACTCACCATGAAGATTAGAGATAAGGAGACCAAACTCCTATAGCCGCTCGTTTATAAAGTGGCCTGACAAAAGTCGCACGGTTATTCTGCCACCCGGAACGTAACGTTCGATAGCAGTGCTACGTTTTACAATTATAGCATGTAGTATAATAGGGATTATGTACGTTTTTCGAATTAAACTTGATTTATTATTCCTTACAAATACTTTATGATCTGGATCAGATCCAAAACATATATACAAGAGTAGGGGAATCTCGGTTAAAATTGGTTTCAATAATAAAAATAAAATATATATTATAATAATTAGCTATTAAACACATGGGCATGCCCGGATTAAGACATTTTCAAGGGGCCAACATTTTAAATAAGGCCTCTGTACGAAAAAAAAATTATATTATTTAATATTAGGTGCACGTTATAATAAATGTATATGGGTATTAGCCATTAGGTACATAGCAATAAATAATGAATAATGTATCACTTTATTTATAAATTATAATTTACAAGCTTTTTTCTTCGCTAAATAATCATCGATTTTTTTTAGGTGATTAATGCAGTGTTATAGCCTATAATGGAAAAAGTAATGGACAAATCTGAGGCCCCTTAATAAATTCTAACTATCGAAGCCCGGGGGCCATGGCCCCCTTGGACCACCCCCCCCATTAATCCGGGCTTGCACATAGGCATGGATGATTCATACATGATATTTATTATTCATCGAAATATTAAATTTATAAATAGACAATGAATACAATGATAAGGTTTTAAATACTTTTTATTATTATTTTGCTTTGATCATTAGTACCTACATTAGTAAAGTCTCCAAAGGGTTCCAATGTTTCTGGTGGAGATATGATAAATACTCTTTTGAATATTAAAGATATAACCAACACTAATGAACGAGCCCAAAGAATAAATCAAGAACTAGATGACATTTTAGACAAAGGACATTCCGAAAAAATTGAAATTGCACCATATATTCATGATCATGAATATAGTTTGACTGATACATCGAGTTTAGTTTTATCTTACTTAGCTGGATATGTTGCTCGAAAATCAACCAGATTCACAAAATGTCAAAGGTGTCTTTTAAGTTTAAAAAATCAAGTTATTTCATCTAGAGACAAACTCATTGATATGCGCTCCAAAGGTTTTTTGATCCGGCCATCAGATAGTATTTTTGCTCTTATTTCAACTTTAGAAAAAATAACGTTACAGACTTTAGTATCTGAAGAATTAAATGTAAATACAATTTTTTCTATAACTTCAAACTTATGGACGGACACAGCATCTTTCCCATTTGTTGGTTGCAGTGCCGGCCCGATGGTTTTCGGGGCCCGGTGCAGAATTTCGCGGGGCCCCATATGGCCAATGGCTGAATATGTTAATTTATTAATTATTATACAATATACACATTTATTTTATTTTTTAGGGACTTTTTTAAATTGCCTGTGAAAATAATATTACCTATCAGTATTGTTTTTAAAATTTAGATAGAATGACTTTAATGATTCTACATCTACATATTTTTTTGTCATATAAAAATGTAAAATAATCCAAAACGTATACCTTTTCCATTAATTTAATGGAAATAGTACATTTTGGAAAATTTAATGGAAATAGTTCATTTTGGAAAACCTAATGAAATATTAAAATATACTCCAAAATGTGCTTTTTCCAAAATAAAAATATTATTAATTTCTTATTTATTGTTTCAATATGAACAAATCGTTTATAAATAAAAAAGTAATTTTGAAGACAAGGAAGATTTTTTAAATTATTTAATAATATATTATTTCTATTAAAAACGACTCAAATGTGTTTAATAATCTAGGATTATATTTTTAATTTAATTTCAAACTTAATGATTGTGAATATTATAAATTATAAATTATATTTTAGTACGTTTTGGATTAACTATTTTATTTCGCTATACCTACAATACGGGCAGTAGTACGTTTTGACATAACATAAAAAAAAGTACGTTTTGGAATAATTTACGAAAATAGTTCGTTTTGGTATAGTTAATGATTGGTGCCTATTATTTTAAGTTTTAACATTGGCAATAGTATGTTTTGTCGTAAAACTGGAAAAAGTACGTTTTGATTATCTAAATATAATTTTTATGCACGGAAAAGGTTCGTTTTGGATTAAGCAGTCATTTTTAACAGCTGATTTGACCTGGAAATAGTACGTTTTGGTCTATTCTGACAACACCAATCGATTTGTCAGCGTTTTTTTTACTAGAATCGGTGTCTAACTCGTTTTTGCCAATTTTGGCAATAGTACGTTTTGGAGTCCACCCCTCAATCAAAGTAAGATATTAAAATATAGACATAGTACACATACTTATTCTAATTGGTATTTGTCGATAACAAACAGTTTCCTAAGAAAACAACAATGGTCGCGATATCCGTATTACTGCTACGGGGACAATATTATTATGTTTATTTATAGATAAAGTGATATTCGTAACAAGCCCGCACAAGCTCACCATGCGCGGGGCCTCGCACAAGCGCGGGGCCCGGTGCGGTCGCACCGCTTGCCCCCCCCTAGGGCCGGCACTGGTTGGTTGTGAAGAACACAATATGGGTTTGACAAAAAGTATTGTTCGCTTTTTTATTACAATGCGTATGTATTTTATTGTAAGACGTTCAAACTACAATGAAACTACAAAAAAAAGGAAAAAACCAAGTGTAGTAGAAAGTTGTCAAAACTTTAATTAATGTATTATTTTTATATTTACCATATCTGTATTTTATGTTTCATTTATCATTATTAATTAGACTCGTAGACCGTAGTCATTATATAATGATGTGAATTTTAAACTTTTTTTATAGCAAACACCTTTTGAACTTTGATTATATATTTAGGTATACTTTAACCTGACCAGGTAATAAATAATAAATCATAATTTATATTTCATTTGAATTCAAAAAAATGAAAAAGAACGTACATTTATAGAAAAGTACGTATAATAAGTGGTAAAACGTAGCACTGCTATCGAACGACGCGCTCCTGGTGGCAGAATAACCGTGCGACTTTTGTCTGGCCATATTTTGTATACGGAGTTTGGTCTCCTTATCTCTAATCTTCATGGTACTCACGATTAAAGATATATTATCTATAGCCGTGATAGTACTAGATAGTGAACTCCCGCCATGAATTGAAGCTTCAACGTCGGTTGGCAATTGTATGGTATTTCATATGACAAATAAGACTAATTATGATTTCTTTTGTATTGTATTTTATTATTTCTAAACCTGCAGTTTAAAAAAAAAAAAAAATTGTACATAAATTATTTTACATTTACTATTTTATTTTACCACTAAAAAAAACGTTGTCATTCCTAATACGTTTCGTATAGTAAATGAGATGTTTTGCCAACCGACTATTATTACAAGGCCGTCGGGGTTGGGTAGTGCGGTCTTAAGCAATTCGCCTTACATGATAATATATATTACACACAGCCATACGGTTTATTGTAGGTACCATCTATGATCTATACAGTGCGCATGCGCCGAGTAATTCCCCATTCGGTGACACCCGAACCGCGCCGAGTGCAGTTACGTACTTATGTCGGAGGGTCGGACCCCTGGAACTACATCCATATTCCATACCATGACTAAATAGATAGGTATGCCAGCAACAAAACGAGTTTAAGTCCGGTGAGCACCACCCCGCCTTTTCCAGCTATAGTCGTAAATCGCCTCATTATTATTGGTCGTTAAATTACCCAGCTCATCGATTTCTATATTATATTACTATATATACATAATTGAAGCTTTAAGGTCGGTTGGCAATTGTATGGTATTTCATATGACAAATAAGATGATAATATTATGATTTATTTTGTATCGTATTTTATTATTTCTAAACATGTAGTTTAAAAAAAAAAATATTTTATATAAGTCATTTTACATTTACTATTTTTTATTTGACCATTAAAAAAAATATTATTCCTAATACATTTAGTTTAATAAATGAAATGTTTTGCCAACCGACAAAATGGCGGCCGAACGGCTGAGCTTCACTTAATAACAATGTAAATTGTATAGGAGTTCCATATCTAGTGTAGTATAGAATTCTGTGACGCAGCTGCTAACATACAGCGGTGAACCGGCTAATAAAGACGGGGTATGAAGTGGTCGGGGAATACGATGTGTGTCGAAAAGTTGCTGACGTAGGTAGTAGGTACCTATTTTGTCACGATCTATACTCTCTCTACTAGACAGTGTAAGGTCTATTATATACGATATTATGCGATAATTCTCTTCGCGCATGCGCAATTTATTATTCGTCCAACACGGAAACTTATATAATATTATAATAATATATATTCACTAATATGTGCCTCAAATTATCGGGACAAGAGTCTATCCACAGTGTATGATCTAAGTGGACCGTCATAGACATAAATTATATTCTTGAATCATATTATGATTTATGGTAATTAATAATTTATTCCGTTCAATGTTCATTGTTCACAATAACAATATTATGGACTAGGTATAGAGTAAAATTCAAGAACGGCATATAAGACGACCACGAAGTAGAGAAGATATTATCTTCTCTACATCTTGAAGACGACGGATACCTGCTTATAAGTTATAACGTCTTCCAGTACTATGCCGTTACGTTACGCATATAGGCCTTTTACTAATAGACGACAGATCTGTCTTTAACCTTTTTGACGCCCTGGGCAGTGGTATAATGGGGCCCCTACGACTTGGGCAGAACACTATTTTATTGAACCAGGTAAATAGGGAGGTGGTAGATAAGAAAAAATCTAGATTAATTTAACTGTAAATAATTATTTTTGTTATTAGACGGAGCATAATATAACGACGGCGGGCGTCCTTGGCAATTTATTACACTATTACAGTCTACTGTCTACAGTGATAAATATATTATATTATTATATTATACGGTTATACACGGTTTATTGTATCATCTAGTGCGCGTGCGCCGTGTAATTTGTTAACGCCGGAAGAGTGCAGTGATGTGTGACCGCTGGAACTTTGGTTTACGTATTACGTCATTCTTACTCCGCGGCGTCTCCGCCTACCATATATAATATTATCAGCCAGGGCTACGCTTACGCACTACCGACGCACTCATCGCACATGCGCACAAGCACAACGGGTCGATCGATACGACAATGCGATACGAAAGTTGCCAGCACAGGAGTCAGGAATACAGGATCAGGACTTTCCGACGAGTGACGAGTGACAAGTGACGACGGACGCCATTATACGAGTATACTACAACTCTACTACGGCGGCGGACGGACAATTACAGACTAGAGTAACTAGAACTTAAACTGGACAATAAACACTAAAAACTTATCAGGAACATGGCGGAATTAAGCAACAACTACCAATACGCAGTTGGTAAGTGTTCGTTTTGTCACAATAACCGTACGGTTAAGTTCATGCCCAAGTTTGGTATATAATATTGTGCTGCTGATTTTTAATGTGTTGATATGCTTAAATTCTTAATGTAACAAAACAATTCCGTGTACTGTAAACTCAATAGTCAATACTATGACTAGGTACCTATGTATATTAATGAATTGAATTAAATCTAACAACTTTCAAATGTAGGTATCTATTACTATTTATGTGCTTATGGTATTAATGGTAGGTACCTACCTTTATAATGAATGTATTGCATCATCAAGAGCTAATATATTTTGAAATAATATGTACTTCACTTACTCCTAAGGCATTCAAACAAGTGGATTGTGTTGTTCTTATATTGGTTCTGGTTGACTATAACTTTGGCAACCTCTACTTAATTGTATTAGCTCTTCGTCATTAGTTCGTCAATTACACATCAAATTCATATTAGTTACATTGGGTTTAATTATAAATCACCGCGTTATCGTTTAGTGTTCCTTAAATTGTTATATACAGGGCTGGAATAAATAGAAGCGCTTATGGATAAATAATGATTTGAGCCTCCCCACAAAAAAAATTTAACTTATTAAATGTTACTGTATTTAGCTGTAACTTTTAAGCATAATCAAGGTTTTCTTTAAAGTTTTAGTCTATTATTTTAATTGAAGGTGCAATTACAAACTATTATGAAATATTTCAAATTCAAAATAAAGATATAATTAACAAAATTGATTTGTATTACCTACTTAAGTACTTTTGTGTGACTTAAATGACAAATTCTAAAAGATATTGGTTTATGTGTCATAAACAAGAACGATACACAATGTAAATACAATAATTGTACTCTCCAAGTTAAATATAAATACCTACACGTAATTGTAAACATTTTTGGGAGCAGATTCTTTGAAGATTGAAGTATGTACCTAGTTCTTCTTAGATGCAATTTCATGCTCAATTGAAAGTATGGCCAAGTTTGATAGATGTTCTTGAACCATGGTGGAAGCTGTAGTAACTGGCATTGTTAAAACATATCCTCTTAATGCCGCTTCCAAAATTGGGTATATATTATCTTGTTGAGAATTTTGTTGTATGAATTTTAAAAATACATAAGAGTTTGTAGTTATAATTATGTTATTCATTTAGAAGTTAGAAACTTGAAATATTAAACTTAATGTATAACTCACTACAAGTGGTGGTCAAATAATTTTGACGTGGGGGGGGGATATGGCTGTTTTATTAACATTCACTATTTAATTATTAAAAATATAATTCATGTTTATCAGATGTTAAACATTAAACAAAAAGTCATGGAGGAATCTATCCCCCTCAACTTTCCCACTGTTTGACCGCCACTACTCACTACTAATGAAATCAACACTGTATAAGAATGCTAGATAATCAGACTATATTTTGATATCATCTACCTATTTGGCTATTTCCATAGTCACTAAATTTCAACCAGACAAAAATAATAATATAATCTAATCCTAGAAATGTACAGCATTGTAACTTTACAATAGTTTCACTTGTTTCATTTGACTCTAAGTCATATATTTCCCGTTTAATTTTTCTGCTAGGTAGTTGGAAAATCAGTAGTTATATTTAGTAATTAAGTGCAATTTGTTTAGCATACTTCAATTTTTTTTTAAAACCATTTTATTGTAAATTTTGAATGCATTCAATTAAGCTTTCTAAACTTTTGGTAGCCATATAGATTATTTATGTTACAGGGAATGTGTTTAGTTTATTTAAATTTACTATTACCTTAGGCTTTAAAAATATTATTTTGATCAACTTAAAACTGATAACCAACTTTAGCTTCCCTCAACATTAGTAAATTGAATAAATCCTGCATAAAATATTGTTTTTATTTTAAATTATAATGTTTTATTCTTAATTAGGTGAAAAAGTCTTTGTATACTTCGACGGATTGCTTTACGAGGCAATATGTTTAAAGCGACGAAAGACAGATTATGGAGAAAATCAGTACTATGTTCACTATAAGGGCTTTAAGAGTACATGGGACGAGTGGAGTGATGAGGATGACATTTTGCCAATCAATCAGATTAATATAAGCCACAAGGAAAGGCTAGAATCTAATCGGTAAGACATTTATTAATCATTACTACTCATTGCTTATCACTAAGGCTCGGAAGTTGTAGGAGTTGCATATTACTTTACATGCTTTAAAATTATAGAAGACCAAGCTGGAAATCTGAGTTATAAAATAATGAGTTAAAAAATCAAAAATTTAAACTGCATGTTTTGTCAATTTAAGGAGAAAAGTGCATATTTATTAATTTTTATATGCACATTATTTAAAATATTATAAAAAAATTGACCTTTTTCATTCGTAAACTGTGTATTTTAATAATAATATTGAAAATAAAACTCAATATTATTTAATATAGGTATTTATTGTTGCCGTAGCAGTAAACTATTAATTTAACCACAATTGTACAATGCACAATTTAATCCCTATTGCGCTAATATTTAAATATAACTTCTGTCTTTACAAATATATTTTTTAAACTATTTTTTTCAAATCAAAAAAATCAATCAAATGTCAAAATGGCAAACTGTTTTCCACCATATTTTAAGTATTATTAATTTTTTTTACATTTCTTTTAGTGCAAATGAATAACAACATAAAATAGGTGTTTTGGCATTTCTAATAATTTTGATTTTTTAGGAATATGAAATTTATATGTAGGTATGTTTGATATTATTTCATGCATATGTTACTATTTTGTTCAATCTCAGCTACAAGCATACTCTCCAACGGCTCAAGTGTGGACTTTATGTTTATAATATGATGCCTTACCTCAACACCAATAACTAATTGAAAATCACCTATATAATAAATTTTATTTTCTATTCTATTGTACTATTTTATATTTATCGGCATAAATTCTTGTAATTTGTTGTAAATAATTTGGAAATAATTATGAATTATCAATTGGTAAACTGTTAAAAATTTTAATTAATAGTATCAATAAGTTAGATGACCTTGTCAGTAACACTTTATAATAATAAAATTAAAAAAATTAAAACTTTTTTGTGCATATTTACATGCATAATTTTCCTTTTTTAGCTACTACAATTTCCAGCACTACTTATCACCAATTATTTAAAAAAATATATTTATTATATTTATTTAATGTAGAAAAAATTGTAGAAGATCAAAACGAGGAAAAAAATCTCAAGAACCTAAGGAAACAGAAGATGATTCTTCTCGAAAACCAGCATCAAGAAAACGAGGTATGTATTTTAGTTAGTATTTAGTTCAATATTTATTTTGTATTTCATATTTGTCATTGTAATGTTTTGTTAAAACTAGGCAGGCCCAAGAAAAATGTAGATCAATCCGCAGAACAAGCAGTAGGACAATCTACAGTACCAGCGGTAGGGCAATCTACAGTACCAGCGGTAGGGCAATCTACAGTACCAGCGGTAGGACAATCTACAGTACCAACACCAGCGATAGGAAAATCTACAGTACCAGCGGTAGAACAATCTACAGTACCAGCGGTAGAACAATCTACAGTACCAGCTGTAGGAAAATCTACAGTACCAGCTGTAGGACAATCTACAGTACCAGCGGTAGGACCATCTACAGTACCAGCAGTAGGAAAATCTACAGTACCAGCGGTAGGACTATCTGCAGAATCAGTGGTAGGACAATCAGACAGAGAAAACTCTGCAGAACCATCAGTAGCACAATCTACAGCCCCAGCGTTCGAACAATCTGCAATCCCAATTGTAGAAGACGGACCGGCTGATCGGGCTGTTGCTAATATTGTATTAAATATTATTCCAAGTTCAGAGGTAACCTATTACAAATAGTGTAAAAAATTAAGTTAAAAATTGGAGTTAGATATCTATTTAATTACATTTTTGTTTTAGCTTCTTGCAAATAAATTGCGTAAATTAGTAATACCATTTAATTTAAAAAATGCAGTAGAATTTGATTGTGTGATTATGCATCAACATAACTATGCATCCCAAAAGGTACAAAACATTTTATTTTTATACATCATGAGTCATGACTATGAATTTTATCATTGTAATATTGATTGCTTGGTTTTAGCTATTAAAGTTTCCGGAGAAAAACTTTTTGGCAGAAGTAATTTATACCTTCACTAATTCATCTTATTTTATAGATGATAGCCAAAAGTAATTATTTAATAACTATCTAAATATATTTTCAATAAATATTTCATAAAAATATTTGTTTTAGGATATGTTCAAAGATGTTCTGTGTTACTTTAATGCAATATTTTAATGCTTCTGTTCACAAACATCTAACATACGAGGTCGAGAGAATATACTGTTTAAAAAATAAGGTAATGATAAAAAATCGATTATGTAAAATAAAGTTTTTAATACAAGGATATATATTAATAATTTCCCTTTTTAAATACTTCAAATTCTATGATTTTTTTTGAAAAAAAATTTTACTTAAGAATCTGGGCAAAACAATAAATGTCTTGGTTTTATTTTAGTTTTTGTGTATACATACTAAAGTAGATTCCATTTTCTAGGTTTTTTATAATTTAAAAATAATCATTTTGGTGTTTTTGCGCTACTTATAAATAAATTAAATGTTTATCTCTTTTAGTTTCTTTGCGATTTAAGTATGATAAAATTATTTATGTTTGGGTGAAATTTTAAAATTGAATACAAGGTATCCTCAAAAGATGTTCTTACTACATATACAAATTATAAAAGATACATAAGCACTATTTTTTTTTAGATTTTAAAGTTTAAATTTTAAACATATGTCAAAATCACAAATTTTATAAAATGTTCAATTTTTACAGCTAAGGCTAGCAAATATAATATAAAGTTAGATGAATAAAAACAATTTTAGTTACTTTCATATAGTAAAAATAATTCTTTGTGCGGACTAGAAACTTACATCTTATATTATTTTATTTTATTATTCACAATGCACTATTTATACCACAAACCTCTTCATACCCTCCTACTGTAGATAGTATTGACTTAAAGTTAATAATAATAGTCAATAATTATGATATTAATATAATATACTTTTATAATAGGTAATTGATAATATAATAAATTCTATGGTCAGGTAAAATTAATTCAACCTACCTTATTAGTTATTACTAATATAATATTAGCTATAATAGTTTACTAATTTGAATAGCAATATAAATGCATAATCTCATATACTTGGTAATATAGGTCGAGTGTTGACGTCTGCTTTCTGAATTGTATTTTGTATACAATGATTTGTCATTGAATTCAAACGCAACCCATCCATTACAGTTGCCTACCCGGGCAGGTACAGTAGAACAGTACCTACTTTTGTTTTTATTAATTTTAATCTTATTTTTGATGTGATACTTCTAAATTAAAATTATTTTGAGTATGATAATTGTTTATTAAAAATTAGCGAGTCATGATATAATTTTTAACAATTTGTTTTACCATCAAATATTTTTATTTGTAAAAAAATAAGTATAATATTTTGTATAAGACTTTAAAAATGAACGTTTATAAAATCCGGAAAAGTGTTTTGATATAATAGTATATAGTAGGTGTTGAAGGTTTAAAATCATTGAGTATGTCAATGTCATAGATGTATTCAATTTGAATTCAGAAAACTTATTGCATACTAAAAACAATTCTGATCAAAGTTAGTCTGTCAGCACACATTTCTAAAATTATTTTATTACATAGGTATTTATATTACTCTTAGGAATATAGAAGTCTTAACTAATAATTGAAAATATAAATTGTATATTGTATAATTGCAATGTTATTTCATATTTTCATATAATATTACCAGCTGTTGTTAACATAAAAGTCAATAATGACATAATGTAGAACAGTGTGATAGGCTAATAGTATAAATAGCTTTTAACAGGCGCGTACTGGCCCACCAGGATACCGGGAAAATCCTACCAAATGGGTTCCTGTAGTTTCAGTTAAATTCAGTAATTGTATTATTTTTAACAATAAATAATAATTGTTTTAAAATTATTTTAATTGAATAATTGAAAAGAAAAAAATACATAAAAGACAAATAAGAAAATTCTTTGGTCAGTTTTAGTTACTGGTAATGCAACTTTTGGTTTACTACTGTACTAGGTTTGATCATATTATAAAATTTGTATATTCGTTGAAAAACAAATAATTTTTATTTAGAATTCTAGTGAACACTAGACAAGAAAAAGCGCAGTATGCGGATACACGGTTAGGTTAAGTTGGGTTAGGCTCCGAATGTTTCTGTTTATAATAAAGTTATTTGTAAATTTCATGGATTATTAGTTATCAATGATAATATTATTAACCTAGTATTATACGTATTTTATTTCATTAATTTGAATTTTGTCGACGGGTTTAGTGGTTTACTACAATTTTAATTATTTTAAGTATTATCCTAATACAAGCTAATTTTTCCTAAAATATTAACAAATCTTTAAACTGTATTTCTTATTAATGCAGTAATTTAATTTTTTTAATTTTTATTTAAACTTTTTTTTTATATTGCCTATGATAAATGTGGTAAATATCATGAGCTGTATGCTTGTATTCGTTTTAAGGAAACAATTTATGTTGGTATGATATACATTATTTTGTATTTGGTAAGATTATTACGCAAAATTTTACAGTATACCTAGTAACAGAACTGAATATAGAGATAGGTAAAAGCGGAATAAAAATCCCCTTAAAAATATCCCCGACCCTAGGAAAAATAACCCCCAGACTACAATATTGCTGACAACCACATAGCATTTTTAAAATGTAATTAATGTAATTATTACATTATTAATATTTAATTAAAGATATATTATTATACTTATATAATATAGGTATACGGTATACTGTTCATTAAAAAAATTAATATAGAAAAAATAATAATCAAAAAATAACAATAATATCGTTTTGTTTTATATCACAATGTGAAACAACATAATGTTAATAGTTCTTTTAAAAGATTACTGATTAGGTACCTACATTCTTTAACTATTTTTTTAATAATTATTTATTTTATTTGATGTATCGATCATTTGAAATATTTTTATTTTATAATCTTTTAAATATTGTATCGACCTATATTCAGCAAAACCTGTAAAATCTACTTCTAATAATAATTATTATTATTTACATATTGTTAAAATACTATTAGGAAACGTAATATTTTATTTCGGGGATATATTATAAATTATAACATTATAATTATATATTATAATTATATAAAGGTATTAAGCAAAAAATATTATTGTTAATGTTTGAAAATTATAATAAAAATATTAAAAAATAAGGTAGGATTAGATACTTGAGTAAATAATTAATTGATTTTGTTTGTATGATTTTTTTATATTTTTAAGTGAACATGCAGCCCTAGTTGCGCCACTGGTAAGTGGCCAAGAAGGCCCTAATTATATTCAGTTTCCCAGTAGTTAAAATGGACCCAGTACGTGCCTGGCTTTTAATTAATCAAATTATTTTGAAAATTAAGTTGTGTATAATAAATAATTAGCTGAATTATGAGTTGCTACCAGGCTACAGTCATAGGCGTGTCAATTATAATATACCTTCATGACTGGAGATACAAATTGCAAAAATTTTAGTTTTTACATACTGCATAATATATATTTTCTCATAGTATTACAACTTTGTAACTTTTTATGTAAATATGTAAACCTCTAACATTTAGAAAATCACTGTTATTTACTACAAAATATGTCAAGTGTCTTGTTAAATAAATGCTAGTACATACAGCAAACCATTAATGTTATTTTAAATTTAAATTAGGTACTTCAAAATTAAAAAATACAATTAAATTATTATTATAAATCAATGATTTAAATTAGAAAAATATTTATATTACTGCAAGTAGATAATTTGTGAATAAGTATAAAAAAATAACCATTAAAATACAGTCATTAAAAATTTCTTTTTACAATTCCATATTTCCATAAGCCTATCTACTGGTTTTAATATTTTGAAAGTTTCAATTATGTCATCAATGCCAATATTGTAGACAGATTTCTGTTCAATACCTATTGCTAACAACCAACAAGTAACATTGAAGCATTGTGCTTCTAAATTTTGTTTTGATCAAACTCATTTTCGAAAAATATCTTTCACATGATCAACTTGTAACGGGGATAGTTACAAATTCTTTTGAAACTTGATATATTTTTAAATATGGTATCTCTTCCAAAATTAACCAACTACTTGATGCAATCTTCACATATATTTATTTGTCTTAACTAATTGAATAATTTGCTTTAAGTAAACTAATTGCAGCATCTAGATCATTTAAATTTAATCCAAATATCTTGGACAATTAATTTTCCAAGTTGTTTTCGTCTTCTTATTAGGATATTTTGTATTAATATTCAGGTATTCCTTATTACATTATTATATTACAGTTTACAAGTTAACACCTTTTATACATGTATAGTCATATAAATATATTATAATATGTACAGATACAAAATTAAAAATGTTCAAACAAATATATGTCATTTTTCCTTCAAACACTAAAGATGAGACAAAAAAATTGAAGATACAAGAATACAAGATAATTAATACCACGGTCTTAGAAGATTCTATGATTAATACCATTGCACCAAAATCACGATTAAAGATATACAGGTTAGTGGTTACTCAACGACCCTTTGCACATACACAACAAAAGTGGTGCGCGAAAATGTTGGTTTCTAACAGCTGATCAACAATGTGAGATTAACTACTAGCGCTCCAATACATAGTATTGTATATCTATTTTGATATATCTTGTAGTACCAAAAGAAATCACTATAATGGAAAAGCGCTAACTGTTATTCTTGCTATGACAAGATCGTTAATTTTAAGCGCACCAAAAATAAGTTTCGTTGAGTAACCTATATATCTTTAATCGTGACCAAAATATATCTATCATCGCGCCTAATTATGTAATAACTGTATCAGTTAACATCAATGATTATAGGGGAAAATCATAGACAAAACTTGGTATACTTGGTGTATCATTTTATATTTATCATAATATTGAAAATTAGATAATTTTTTAATATTTTAATATAAAGGACATAATTATATTAATGTTATAGTGCAAGTTGTCAACAACAAATTTAAAAAAAAAAACAGTTTTGACCCGAAACTCCGAAAAGACAGCGGAGACAAAATATCCCAGCTTGCCCAGTGGGTGCTAAGGCTAGTAGTTGGTACCACATGCTGCTTGTCCTATTGCTTATCAAAAATTCTTTTTTAGTTGTAAATAAAACTGTTTTATACACTTTTTTATTGATTTTAATTCTACATTAAATTTAGCAATATTAAATACAATTTATTATAATGAAAGAGAAATAACAAGAATAATTGGTAATAATACATTGATTACAAATCCCAGTAAAATTGTATCGTTTGTAGTGCAAGTTATAAAGTTATATTTGTTATACCAGTTATATTATATTAGAATATAATTAGCCTTACTGCAATATTAAAAACAAGAATTTTGTTCTTAATTATGAAATTATTTAACTTCATAAAATAAGTAAATACACATTTTTTTTTATAAAAGTCATGTATTATAATATTATATTGTCTATTTTAGGGCATGAAATGTTTTATTAATAGATTGAGAAATCGACCAGACATCAACTATATCTATAAGGAACTCATAAGACCAAAAGCAATTTGGTGTTATTTGTATGGTCCCATGTATCTATTAAGATTAATTGGTATGTATCAAACACAAATACATTATTTTATGCTTAACCTTAAGGACTTGTATATTATACATTTGTATTAAGTCTTAATAAAATGTAATTACTATATTATATATATTATATATTACTATACATTTTATCATAAAAAGGCTTGACATTTATTTTTCAGTTCGTTTGCCAACAATTTTGATATCAACCTCGTCGCTTCCTCAATACGATTCAGATACCTTTGTTCATCATATTAAACAATTAATCTGGTAAGTTATTATTTTTAGATTTTCATTTAACCAAATACAGTTGAAATTATTTATAATGACATCCAAAGAACTAGAAAAAGTAAAGTACAACACCAAAATATATAATTTCATCAGGAAAAAAGATTTGTATTGTCACTTGTATATGATATGTGTTAAAAAGGTATCGAGTTTCTATTAACTACACAACATTTTACGTGTGGGACAACATTTTGGTTCTAGAAATGCAGACTTGGGTAGTATTCCGAATACTTTTTAAATACTTTTTTTTTTAAATATTCAATACAGTAATTTTGAATACTTTTTACAAGTATTCTGAGTACAGTATTCGGAATACTTTTTTTCTTATATAAGTATACTCTTATACATAATTATTACTGCAACTGCAACTTTGAAAAACCGAAAAAAGTGGCGGTAGTGAATAAACGGAAAAGGTCCAACTAATTATTACTTATTAACTATATTAATTTGAATATAATTTATAACTAATAGATAGCCAGATAGGTGTGTATAATCAAGATTTGATTCATTTATAAACACAGAATTGAAAAAATATTTTTGCTATTGAAATCTAAATCTATTAAAAAAAAGCACTCGAAAAATATTTGGAATACTTTTTGTGAAGTATTCTGAATACTTAGGAATACTATTATCATAAAGTATTCGAATACATATTCTGAATACTGTATTCGGAAAATGTATTTGAAAAACTTTTAAAAAGTATTTCACCCAAGTCTGTGGTAATGGGTATGACCATTATTTAAAATTCAGAGGATCTTTGTCAATTTTGTGATGTCATATACTATAAAAGGAAAAACCACAATTAAAGACATATATAAAGGTTACTCAATAACCCTATGTACATACATAACAAAAATGATGTTCGAACATTCTGGTTTCAAACAGCTGATCAACGATAGGAGAAAAGCTACTAACTCTCCAAATGTGGTTAACATCAATCAACATCCTAATATTGTATATTATATATATACAGTATGTCCCAAAAGTCCCGTATCACCCTTAATATCTCCATGTAAAATCACTATATTTAAACGCGGTTTTTTTTACAGTACTAAGTATGAAAATTCTGATTGAATGGCATAAAATTCATTTATTTTTTTCTTTAAATTCAAAAATTTTCAAAAAAATTTTTTACGCATTTAATAATTTAAAATTTTTAAGATAGCCATTTTGTTGAGCATATTTTTTAAAACAGTTCAAAAAAAAAAATACTAAAATTAAATAAAAATTGACCAAGTTAGAACAAGTTATGTTTTTGAATAATTGTAGTAAAAAAATAAATTATTGTTTCACATTTCAATAATGAAATATCTAATTTCAGCACACGACAATACTTTTACATTCCTAATTTATTTTTTTACTACAATTATTCAAAAACATAACTTGCTCTAACTTGGTCAATTTTTATTTAATTTTAGTATTTTTTTTTTTGAACTGTTTTAAAAAATATGCTCAACAAAATGGCTATCTTAAAAATTTTAAATTATTAAATGCGTAAAAAATTTTTTTGAAAATTTTTGAATTTAAAGAAAAAAATAAATGAATTTTATGCCATTCAATCAGAATTTTCATACTTAGTACTGTAAAAAAAACCGCGTTTAAATATAGTGATTTTACATGGAGATATTAAGGGTGATACGGGACTTTTGGGATATACTGTATATATTGATATATTTTGTAGTACCAAGAGAAATCACTAAAATGCAAAAACATTAACGAGACTTCTCGTTATGGTAAAAAATTGTGCAACAAAAAATAAGTTTCGTTGAGTACTAAATCTGTATATCTTTAATCGTGGGCAAAACTTAGAAACTTATCAGTTTCATTACAATAACACACTAACCCCTGTTTTTTATTTAAACTTTCTTAGCTAAACATAGCTTAACTACTTCAACCCATCTGCTCACTCAGCATAGCTCATTGGAATTTTGGTTATTTCCTAAACTAGAATTACCATTGTAAATGTGAACCCATCTAAACTCTATTCTCAAAAATTCGTTCATAGATATGCTTTTAACAATAATGGCACTGCTGGAGATGGTTGTGTAATAAGATTTCTAGCAAAGATTTTATACTTTTCTGAACTAAAAGCAGTGTTTGAATTGGAAAAAAAATAGAAGGCTGATGTATAAAACATTTGTGAGTCTCCTCGAACATTTAAATGTCTTATTAATTCTTAAAATTAGAAGGGGTACACTAAAATATTTTTAAAATAGAAGTGGACCTCGTCCCCCCCCCCCAATTCAACCACTGACTTAAAGTAGGATACTTTTTAAACACATCATAATATTAAGTATTGAATATTATTAATCACTTTGTTAATAGCATATTTTTAATATGTATTATTAAATATCTATTATTTTGGTTCTATAATTTTGATTTACTTTTATGATGTATTTGGAAATTATGATGGCGTTCATTGTTTATCTCTGATTACAACTAAAGTAAATTTTTGGACCAAGCATGTTTTGGATAAATTCATGTGAAACATTGGTCATAACATTGGCTAGACTCCACAAATGTGAAACTTTGTTCTCCAAATTGACATTTATAAAGAATAGGTATCGTTCAAGACTAACTAATCTCTACCTTGAAAAAATTCTGAGCATTAGTTGTTCTCCAAGAGTACCAAATTTAAAAAAACTGGCTCAGAACAAGAAATGTAATTTTTCTTATTAAAATAAGTATACAATTGGATTATTATGCAACTTTATAAATTATATTACATAAAATTAAATGTATTTGCTCTAAACAGATTCAAATTATTTGGACTGTCATAGAATTTAATTTCCTACCATTAAATAAAAATCTAGCATGTCAGTAAAAATAATGCAGCATTATATACTTATTCTTCAAATCTAATTGAGGATTAATAGGATGTCGCATGTATAATTAGTAATTACTTATCTCCATCTTACTAATATAGCATATACAATTTTATATTTTAAAAGGAAAATTAATTGTATTCTGTTATTTTTAGTATTAAAGTGAAGTAAATAGTAAATAAAATTGAAACTGAAAGTATTGAATGTGGACCATTTTTAAGAGATTTGTCTTGGGCAATATTCTATATCCATCGAGAGTGCTATGTGACTATTGTAACAAGCCAGCTTATTACGTAATAGCTAATATAACTAATATTAATTACAATAGTAATTATCATGAAATAGGCTAGGTTGTCCTTGGGTCCACATTACAAATAAAATATACATATAATATAAAATATCAACTGAACAGGTTAAGCAGAGGACCTCAAAACAAACGAGCAGTGAATAAACAAGTTTACAAATAATAGTTGGATTAATTCAATTTCTAAGAAAGGGGTGAGGTACAGCTAATGAATACCCAAACTGTCATGTTTTATTAAACACGACCCAGTATATTAAAAATTACACACATTGTTTTATTTATTTTAACCTGTCAATAAAACTGCATTATATATATATATATATATATACAACACAGTACATAACGAGTATATAGTAATATAGTATATAACACTCTGCACACCGGATATCTTTATTCTTCATGGTGAGAACCCAGATACATACTCAGTAGATAGGGGAAGAGGGCTTAATACTGTAAAATGAACCCCGAAACGGCCTGTATTTAGACGTGGTTTGCTTATGCTACCACTTTCAGTCGGTCAGAATAACGATTGTCATTTTTCGCCTTAGAATAATTTTCACTGAAGAATCAACTATAATAAATACGACTAAACCATTTTCAACCGAGTCCATATTCATTACACCTGAAATACATCCTCATACCACGGTACACTTGCACATGCACGGTATTGGCTTATTACACTTTATTGTGTCGTGTCGGTTCATTAGTGTGTATGAGTTCCCTGACCGCTTTATGTAATTAAGATAAACTACAGCTTAGATTCTTGGAAATCCGTAGTGTACATATACACAGTCACTCGTCACTACACTTCGCTATCAAAAAAGTTTCAATTCCTGTGGGCTATGGCTATAAACGTCCCGTAAAGCAAAACAAAAATTCACCTAGTGCTGATTTTAATTTTGAAAACATTTTAATACTTTATTCTCTTTTCTAGGTTTTGTAGGAAATGGATTTTTGCTTTAAATTATTGTTTAATTAGGTAGTGTAGTACCAAATTCATTAAATTTTTTTCCCAAATGCACTTTTACTGTAGTGTTCCAAAAAAATTAATTTCCTACAAAACACAGGCAAGCATAAAACAAGTTTAAATAGTTTTTCATAACTGAAGTTGGGCTTCTAGAAGTATTTTTTTCACTCTTTCTTTTTGGTCTAAACCAATGCTTCTCAAGCTGCGAGCTGTGGCTATATATTATTGGGGAGTCATGAAATATTTATCTATTTTAAACTATTTTCTTTGAGCGTTTTTTTAAAAAAAAAACCATAATTATTCTCGACTTAAAATTAAGTGGGGTAAGTTATTTAGTTATTAAATAACCCATAATATCATTAATCATTGTCAATAATTTATCTGTTTGAAATGGTATATGTAATTTTAGTATATATTATGAAAAAATAATTAATGATTTTGGTTTAGAGGGCCTTGACAGTTTTACATTTAATTTCGGGGGCCTCTTGACAAAAAAGTTTGAGAAGCACTGGTCTAAACAATAGCCTTAATACTTTGTCTGCCATGCGACCTTAGCGGAAAATATTCATATTATTTACAAACAAATTAGATTATTACAGCTTGTGTTCATACGGCGTATAGATAATTACAAAATGTGTCTTTAAAAATACTTTTATATTTTAATACTGTGCGGACCCCAACAGTCCCATGAAAGTTGGCATGTTATATTAATTTTGATAATAGGTAAATAGTAGGTTAATTCACTCTAATAATAAAAATAATCAAGTAAAATAGATATTTCTTAACGTTAAATATTATGCTTCGTTATTAGTTAGTAATATTCAATATAAGTACTTAATTCTTAATTATGATAATAAATAGTATGTAGTATGTACTAACATTAAAATAATTATAAGAAATATAATTTTCTTTTTCAGGTTCTTGAAGGATAATTTTGATACTTATTTCACTAACAATGATTACATACAAGCTGAAGAAATGATATAAAATATAAACATACAAAATATTTATAATTTAGTATTTAAGAAAATCCAAGTAGGTACATTGTATTAGTATACAATATAACTATTAAATTAGTCTAGTTCCATAACTTGTTGTTATAAAAGAATGTTACTCTCCGTATTACAACTGTACAACATAAAAAAAATCTGTTTTTCTTGGGACAACTTTACTCCCTCATTGAGTTATAGTAGAATTAATATAGTATATAATCTAGCCACACAGACAAGGACGGGAAGCATAGGCGTGTCCAGACCTTATTCGCAGATCATGCACAGTAGTGGCATATTCAGGGGAAGTAGGTTTCTGCACCCCCCACCCCTAAAAAAAATTTCAATAATTGTAATAGATATTTAAAGTCCACATGATGAAAATTAAAAAATTTAATATGAAATCAGAATCTAAGAAAAAAAGTGTATATTATTATGTACCGCAATTTATAATGTAAGTTAGATCAAATTTCGCAGGTCATGCCTGTGCATGACAGGCAAGACCCGTAGACACGCCTATGACGGGAAGTGAACTATTTCAGTCGCGGGTAACGTGTGTGGCAAGAGCCACACAAACTATTATTTTTTCACTCCTCTCCATCGATCTATGCAACAACTAGACTATAATTCTATGACAACAATATTTCATCAAAGGAACAATTTGGTTTTATTTATTTTAAGTATCACGCATGGAGGTTATTATATGAATATAAGATGTAACCAAAAGTTTATGTTTCATAAGCACCGTGGTATAGATTTCAGTGTCTGGTTGTGCCCCGATACGCGCGTGATATGTGCGCCCAGGACTTTTGGAGATTTCTATTTTACCGCCTTGCATTTTTGGGGATTTCCTCTTTACCACCCTGCACTAATGGGGATTCCCACTTTACTGCCCACTGGACGGAAAAATGATGCTTTCCAACTCTTCAACTGCTATCAAAAACCAAACTTTCGATGCAGGCTTGACATAAAATTCTACAACGCATTTAGAAGAAACTTAATCTGTGTCGTATAGTGTTTTAATTTTTTTGATAGCACCAATAATTTTTAATAATTAATAGTATAAATACAGAAATAGTACAATTTTCCTTCACACAACAGTATTTCCTATGTTGTACATTTGACGGAGACAACACATATGTATGACGTTATTAAGGCATTAAGATAGCAAGATACAAAATATTATAGGTATATAAGTATATTGAATTCCTCATATAATATATATATTATTATATATTCTTCATATATATGTAAAATATTAACAAGGCATTTATTAATTATTCATAAGCATTTGTAGTTATTAATTATTATAAAAGATTTTAATATAAGAAGACGTGGTACTCGCATTTGTTGTCTCCATCTTGCACACATAGGTACGACTTACCAAATTTTTGTTCGCCAGCTTCAATAGTGTGCTGTCAGTTTTTATATTAGCATGAATTGACCTCTTATCAAACGTTTAGGTAAGGAGTAAGAACATTATCTGTGTTTTCTTATTGGTTTTTATATGAGTATACAAAATAATAATATTTGAAAATGCTCATAATTCACTTAAAAACTAAAATATCTCAAAAAAACCACCAAAGTTACCTAAAAGTTTTATAATAACGTAATTCTTTCTAATATCAAAACTGACAGAACACTAGTTAAACTGGCGAACGAAAATTGTCTTATGTAGTATGTGTGTATATGATGGAGACAACCATAGGAGCAAATAGACAAATTATTTTGTGGTTACTAAAGCCCCTCCAATAATATTTTCTAAAAATTATATATGCTCAGTACTAATTACTGACTTTTGAACTGGGGGGACTTGGCAAAAATATGGGGGGACCAAGTCCCCCCAAGCCCATATCTATTTGTACCAATGGAGACAACCATAGTCGGAACTAGACCTTAAAGTTAGGGGGGCTTCAGCCCTAGCATTTTTTTAATAAGTACATTTTAAGCCTTTGTACATTGACCTTGGTCCTATAGTTTCCCCCCAACATTCTCATAATATCGTTATTCGTCTGCCGTCTGGCACGGCTGTGGTGAAATATTAATATTTTTATTGGATAACTAAGAGTCAAGACTTATAATCATAAGATATTGTGATAAAAATTAAAAACTAAAAATATATAATCATAATTAATATAATAACAATTTCAATACAATTAATAAATATTTTTTATTTTAATTATAATATAATAATAAATAATAATATAATAATAATACATTATGAAATAATGTTTAATTGCATGACCTCCTCCCCATCCCCATCCTAAAAGTTTTATTAAGTTAGTATTTTTTAGTCATCATTATTAAGTGTATTACCCCAGCACCCGTACTTCCGAAATCATAGATTGTAATCAAGAAGGCTTATGTACTTAATTTGTACAATTTTGTACAACCAAAATTACATTTTATACAACTTTCAGACCCCCTCAAAATCCATTTTCATCTTTCGGGTACTGTGGTAACATTACCCCAGTACACGAATCAGTTGTTATTTTTCACAAATTTCAACTTTAAGCTGTACAGTATTATGTACTTAATTTTGAACAATTTTTTACAACCCTCAAGCCCCTCCACCCCTATAGTCAACTGCGCTACATTGTTGATTAATTCATCTATTAGTGTTATCGTTTCTTGCTCTAAGCTTTATTAAAATTGTATTATTTTATTTTTAATTTTATTTTATTTTATTTTATTTTATTCTAGTGATAATTTACCTACATATTGCAGAAAACTATACATTATTAGTTGTTGTTTATAATAATATGCGTTTTGTCGTAATGTGAACCTAAACTACCTAATGTATTTTTGTAATACATTCAAAATTATGATCATTGTAGATAAGTAATAAAGTTACAATTATATCATGTACCTACTATATACTTGAATTTATTTTGTTTTATACTATAACATAATTAAACCTTTTGTGTATTAATCTAAAAAGTAATGGACAATAGTAATAGGGGAAGAAAACCAAATACTTTAATTGAAAAATAAATATTGATGATGAATTTTTCAATTTGAAAGATCAAGTAATTTTGGATGACCAGAGTAAGTATTATTGTAATGTAACTAGTATAGGTATCTAAATAATATATAAAATTAAGTATGCAATGTATGATTAAACATACCTACATCTTTAATACATTCAAGTATTTAATATTTTTAAGTGAGTAGACTACATTTTAATCTCATAACCTGGTACCTTCTTAAATTAAATAAACCAAATGGGAATTGTGAAATGTACAATTTTCATAAAAAATAAAATAAATTTGTATCTATGATCTTATTTTTTATTGAATATAATTTGTAAATCCCAAAAATATAATATGTCTATTTAGCTATAAAAAGAACTTGATTTCCAAACATTTAAAATTTAAAACTTAATATTATTGTTACATAAACACTAAAGAGAAAAGTGAGCACATCAATTTATTTTTAGAACCGTAACTCCACACAATACTTTTTTTCGATATCGTAATTGTGCCAAACTGCCAAAGATATTTTTAATATTATAATAATTAACATTATTAAGGCGGCTCTAAACGATTGGATTTTTCATGCATTTAGACCAATAAGCTGGCGAAAAATACACATACTTCTATTAGTCCAATTTCAATTTTGAATACTTATTTGGATTCGTTAGCCTCTTTTCTATGACCTGTAGGAAAAACTTTTTCATCTTTTTGTCTAGTTAGCACTTAAAAGTGCAAGTTAAATTTGAGAAATCAAGCAGTCATTTGGAACCGTAATATACGTAAATTATCTAAAATATCCAAAATCGGTTTCCTACAAATCATAAAAAAGAGGCTGACAAATTCAAATAATTTTTCAAAATTGAAATTGGACTACTAGAAGTATGTGTATTTTTCCCCAGCTTTTTAGCATTTTTCACTGTTGTGAGTGTACAAAAATATTTTTCGAGAGTGATTACGTTGACTTGTGCATGCGCGTACGTGTGCTATTGAACCGTGTGCCCGCGGCCGGGCGATATAAAATCTATTGTTATCGAGTTCGAATTTCTTCGAATTTCACACTAATAATCATTTACGACTAACACATAGATTACGGGCGGCTACGACAAGATTAGAAATTGCCTAAATTGTTCCCCTTAAATAATAGCCACTAAGAGCCGCCTTAAGCAAGAAAAAATTGCAAGTCATATAATACATAGATCTAATAATAATTAAATTATATAAACATTTTAAAAAATGTGTTCTTTTTTAAAACTGCTTAATAATTAAGTCATATCCAAAAATATAAAATAGTAATTTATTAGTGGCCTCACTGCGGCTATTGTTTAAGGGGCCACATTTAGGCAATTTCTAATCTCTTCTTAGCCGCCTGGGATCTACATGTTCAACAATTTTTAATGTATATACCTAATAATTACTCTCATTGTCAACAAAATAATAATTGATCAACATTTTAATTTATACATACAAATCCATTGCTGTGATTGGTTGGTTACAGGTTAAGTTAAGTTACCACACGATTAAATACGATACCGTGTTGTTGGACCCGGCTGAACATTTTTCGTGTACACGGCAAACGTTTATAGTGGAAACCAGCCATTAGTCTATGCGGGTATCGGTTATCAGTGTATACCACTATACCATAGACCTTATACTAATATACTACGTAAAACCATAGATATATATTATATTAGCCTTGTATTAAATTTTCAAGCTTTATACCAACAAATAAAATAATGTTAAAATTTACAGAAAAAATAACCAAAACAATATTTTGTTCAAGAATTCCTGTTTTTCCTTAATTTAATTTTGTTTTCGAGAGCTTTTTGAAAATTACCGGGAATTTTAAATTTAGACCTCAATGCACCAATTAGATTCACATTCCCATCAAACAAGATACTGAAGTTGAAATTGGAAACATTATTTCGACTACTTACCGTGTACACGGACACAAATAAGAAAATAAAACACACATTGTAAAATCAATAATCGCTCTGCTCAGAATCTAAAAATTGTTAAAATTATA